GGCTTTTCTAAATTTCCACTATGTAATCAAACTCTTTACACGTGAAAATTCAAACCCGTTAACAAGTTCCACAGATTAGGAACTTGTTCCCAACTCTCTCAGAATACTTCAGCAGCGAAGCTTCCTTGACCTCACTTTACAAACCTCACAATCCCAAAACCCCAAGTACTTGAATACAATCTGTAATTACAAATACCTATTGCACTCAAGAATATATGAAGGACATGAACTCTCTTACGTTATTTTGTTTACTGGAATTATTGAAGCTCAAGTTACGCAATGAATAACTTCGTGGTTCTTATAGAGAAGAATTAATCCTCAACTTCCACATTAACCACTAACACAGTCAACACCCACTATCAATTAGTGGAGGATTGTGACAGTGATCAACATAGTGGAAGTTTCCTAAAACTTCTCCAATTACCACGTTAATAACTAATTGCTAAAGAATAGCTCATGATAACCATTTACTGAGATATTCATGCAACAAGAAAACTGATTATTTGACTTCCTCAAATATTCTGTTTAAAAAGATTTTCTTAAAAAGATTTTATTTTGAAAAAGATATTTTATGAAATATTTATTTATTATAAAAACTAAGATAATGGACTAAAGTTAATTATCTTTATTCGAAAAATTTATTTAGATAATTTTAACTTTTAAAATATCTTTTCCAAAAATAAATCTATTTATTTAAAAACAGTTTTATATAAATCTTTAAAACAGTTTTATTCCAGTAACATTATTTATAACGTAAGTCATCGAGTTCCTAACTAACTTATATTTTGAGTGCTTACATATTATAACTAGAACGTAAGATTTGCATAAGGCTTTTTAAAGAATGCTCCTCCGCATCCCTTGAATCAAGTTCCTACTCCGGAACGAACTTTGCTTGAATCCTTTATTCACCAAAGACTCAAAAACACTCATTAGTCGAGTTTGTCAATTTGTCCATCAAAACCAAAAGAGTCAACAGAAGTGTAAAAAAGAAGACAAGTATAACTTTTTTTTAAAAAAAAAAAAAAAGAAACGAAAGTAGTATGTGATAAAAAAAAAATGATTCAGATTTAATCAGATAGGTTTTTTTTGGGTGTGAATGAGGTGCGAGGCCCAAAGAAACATATCAAAATTACCTAACAAGTTACAACCAAACATGCTACAGCCACACCAACAATGTCATCGTTCGAGATTCTTGACAAAACTTGAGGGGCGCCAATTGGATATATTATGTTTGAATAATTAGTTGTTTAATCAAGATTTAGCTAGGCAACTCAAATTTTGTCAGGTTACTATAATTAATCAATTTTATTTTTGGTCGGATTAAACTAATTTTGTTCACGTCAAACTCGAGTTATCTAGTTTCACACACTATTTGAGATCTAAATCAGTCAATTTTACTAGGCCTAGGATGATTTAGTGCTCATGATCTGAAGATAAGATGTTGCTTATGTTTTTTATTTTTTTAATTTTTTTGACAAATAAGATGATGTTTATGTTGGACGAATAATTTCCGTTTGAATGTGGACAATATGAAAAATAGACTAGATTTTTGGCGCAAAGTCGCTAAGTTATGGCGAAATATTGGCTGGTCAGTCAGTATGTTAAGGTCAATTGATAAAATGATTATTATTGGTCTTTTAAAGTTGAATATAAATTAGAGGTGATTATTGGGCCGGTCGGACTGGAGCAAAAAAATTATGTCCACTTTTTGGACGGGGCCGGAATTTTTGTGTCAAAACCACTCAAAATGGTCGAGCCATGCGGACTTTTCGGGTCATCTCGGGCCGAGCCTAAAAAATCAACTAAATATGCATAAAAACGCATTCCCAAACCCGACCCAAAAAAATTGGCCCGGACCCAACCCGATTTTGGGCCGAAAAATTCTGCCCAGAACCCCCCAAAATCGAGTCGGGCCATACTTGATCAGGTCTAATATAAACGTACAGTAGTATACTTTGTTCTGTGTAGTTTAATTTCTCAGGAAATACGAAGCATGTTTGGTTGATTATGAATGAAATTTTCTTTGTGGAGGCGGATGTACCAAGCATGGTACATCCGGATTTTTGATAAAAGGTCAAATGAACAAATAGTTGTTTTGTAAAGAATATATAGCTGTTTTACAAAGAACATCCAGCTTTATGTTCTTTCCGTATATTTAAAGAACATGCATAATATTAATAAAGAGCACGATAATATTATGTAATGAACATTATTTATAGGAAAATTTCACTTTTGCTACCACCAAAACATATGCATTTCACTTTTGCTACCCCTTTAAAATTTATTTTATTTTACTATCACACAAAAACAACTTTGTTAAAATTTGCTACCTTTTAACGGAATTGATTAGGGTTCTGTTAAGTTTATTCAAAAAACAAAAAATGTTTAAAAAAAAAAAAGGAAAACCCAGCCAGCCACCCTCCCCCCTCCCTTTCCTCCACCTACGCAGCCCACCACCTTCAATTGCCCAGCCATCCCCCTCCCGTCAGCCAGCCTCCCCCCTGCCGGCGACCGGCGCCCAAAACGTTGGCCGGCGCCGACGACCCTACCCTACTCCCTTTCCCCCTCCAACCGCAGCCCACCCCCTCCTTTTTCCCCTTCTTGCCTCCCCGACCCCCACTCCGAACTGGAAACCACCCCCTTCCCCATTCGCCCCACCGGAATTGGCCCCCCTCCCCATTCCTCTACCAGAATCGTCCCCCCCTTCCCCTACCCTTTTCGGCCACCCCTAACCCTAACCCACCACCCCTAAACCACCATAAGCGAAATCCTAAAACCCGTTTAGGGTGGTTTCGGGCTGGTGGTTTAAGGTTAGAGGTGCCGATTTTTGGGGGGAAGGGGAGGGGGGGTCGATTTCGGTGGGAGAATGGGGAGGGGGGCCGATTCCGGTGGGGAGAATGGGGAGGGGGGTGGTTTCAGGTTCGGGGTGAGAGTCGGGGCAGCAAGAAGAGGAAAAGGGAGGGGGGTGGATGCATAGGTGGGGGAAAGGGATTGGGGTGGGGCCACCGGCGTTGGCCCAAGCTTTGGTCACCGGCCGCCGGCAGGGGGGAGGCTAGGCAATTGAGGGTGGTTGGGTTTTTTTAATTTTTTTTAATTTTTTGAATAAACTTAACGGAATCCTAACGGATTCCGTTAAGTGGTAGTGAAATTTAAATTATGTGATTTTAGGTGGTAGCAAAATAAAATAAAATTTTAAAGGGGTAACAAAAGTGAAATGCATGTGTTTTGGTGGTAGCAAAAGTGAAATTTTCCTTATTTATATTCACCCACCATAATCTAAAGACAAAATTTAAAGAACATTTCACAGTAAACAATGAATACTATGTCACAAATAAAAATAAATTACACTGTCAATCAAATAACACGGAGATAAAAAATATTATTTAACCGTGTGTTCTTTATAAAATAGTGTCATGTTCATTGTTATTAATAGCTTTATTGTTATCTCAAAAACAAAGTCATACAACCTACAATAAATTAGTGGGTAGCCGAGATACAATCTGGGCCCCTACTCCTCTAGCTATAGCAAAGCCTACTCTAGTGAAGATATGAGCTGCAGCACGAGTCCCAATGTCTTGCGTCGTCGAGAACCTCTGAACCCGTTTCAGCAACAGAACAACATCCTTCTCAAATTCCCCAAGCGAAGAAAAGGAGAAGGGAAGGAAACCATATCCAATGAGTTGACAACTAGCTCATACTTTACCCGCTTTCGATGAGCCGCATCATCTACTGCCCGTCCAGGAACAAAGTCAGATAGCCCAGTCGGCGTCAAAGGAGAAGACCCCGTAACATCCACACAAACATCACGACCACGATCCCAAGAATAAAGTAACACATCAGCAGGTCTGAGGGGCCTATCATTCCCTCCAGTCAACCCTATGTCCACCTCCTTTCGAGCTGAAATCCCAGATCTGTAGCAGATATCAACAAGGGTATCCCGAACAACTTTATGCCGATGTTTAATACCCACAATACCAGCACACGACACCGCGTGATCACCATAAATATCCCCAGTGAAAACCCGAGAACAAGCCAAACATGGTGTCAAGATAGAGAACAAAGGAACACCCATCCTGTAGCACAACACACATCGGTAGGTCTTAGCATTCATCGTCTGACCTAACCCAGAAATAGGGACTGCCTGAAGCCAAGCAGAGGTGTGATCTCCCTGCTGCGATTTCCACAATTCTGATTGCCGAGGAGACAAAGAATAGGCGGATTCTGCAGAAGCCGTAATCTTTGTGAAATATATATCTGCCAATTTCTTCATGAGTTTAGGTGAATTCAGCAGAAGCCGTAATCTTTGTGAAATATATATCTGTCAATTTCTGCCAATTATTATTATTATTATTATTATTATTATTATTATTATTTTGTATATATCTCTTATGTTATTTTATCACGTTCATTACATTTTAACAATATGCTCTTTTCACTTTAGATATATGTTTTTTACAATTCTATACCATGTTCTTTTCACTTTAATTAAATGTTCTTTACATTTCTATATAATGTTCTTTCTGCTTTTTATTTTTTGTACGGATGTACCATGCGCATGGTACATCCGCCTCCATAAACCACTAAATTGAAGTATTATAAGAAAATCTCATGTCAATGTCCATGATAACATTTGCTCACCCGTCAAAAGATAGTAAATTATCAAGAACATATGAGGGAGTAACGATCAATTGAGAAGTATACAACATAAGACGTTGCTTTAATTTTTCACTATGACCACATCTCAAATACTTGACTTGATGTCTAGTGACTAAATTGAATGCAAAGTGAATTCTTTTTTCCCTGAATTTTCAGAAAGTGGAGAATTTTGGGGCTTTAATAATATTTTCAAACACATTTTACTAATGTTACAAGTTTTATGGGATAAATAAAATTATTTCATACATTGTAGTTAACAATCATCACTTGGCATAACAAAATATTAGAAAAGATTACACAAGAATGAGCAAGCAAAATCTATAACGATTAAAGCAGTCTTTTGGTTATCTTGGCCCTGACAGTTGGACTGCAGAAACAGATGTACGAGCTGTGGAACTGTAGCTAGCACGGCGCCATGACAAGATCTGACTTTTAACACCTGAACACCTTACCAAACCTGTAAAGATCCACGAGGCTGATTGAGAAGGAATCGGAGGCTGAGGTACAGGGCAAAGACCTTCAAGCATTTGCACAACTCGAGTCATAGACGGTCTAAGGGTTTTATCATCCTGTATGCACCACAGAGCGACTTTTATTGCAGTGTTCACCCTTCCATCTTGTTGATCTTCTACCTTCAGCCTCGGGTCCAAAATCAGATTCATACTCCCTTGTTCCATCATTTTGAAAGCGTATGATGGTAAATGTGCTTTTTCTTTGACTTCATGATTTGGATTATAATTCTTCCTTCCACCAATTATCTCTAGCAAGACCATACCATAACTATAAACATCGCTTTTCTCTGAAATGCTGCAGTTTGTAATCCATTCAGGCGCTAAGTAACCCCTTGTACCTCTTAATGTAGTAACTATATGACTTTGCTCCTTGTTCATGAGTTTTGCTAAACCAAAATCAGAAACTTTTGCAACAAAATTTTCATCAAGGAGAACGTTTTCTGGCTTAATGTCGCAATGTATAATCTTCACATCACACATATCATGCAGATAGGCCAAACCTTTTGCTGTCCCTAGAGCAATGTTGAACCTACTTTCCCAATCTAAGAAGTTTTTTCCTCGATCATTATTCTTGTTAAAGATCCACCGGTCTAATGATCCGTTTTCCATGTACTCGTATACAAGGAGTCTATGATGACTTCCCTCAGCACAGAAGCCCTTAAGCTTCACTAAATGGACATGATGTACACTTCCAATGATGCTAACCTCGGCCCTGAATTCCCTTTTCCCCTGCCCAACACCTTCGAGCTTTTTAACAGCTAATTTAGTCCCATCATCTAACAACCCCAAGTAAACAGACCCGAATCCTCCTTGACCAAGCTTCACACTGAAGTTTTTCGTCGCAACCTTTAGATCATTATAGCTGTAACGAACAGGCACTCCTGTGATATTATTGAAGAAGTTGTCCTCCTCCAGAGCTTCTCTTGAGGATTCTAATACAAATGACCTACTCTTTTTGCGATAGTACCTACCACATCCGAGGAGACCTGAGACAATCAATATTGTTCCGATAACTATTATAACAATTTGGGAATTTTGACTTTTACCACCTTCAAATAACCACTTAATTGAATTTACCACCTCCAAAAAAAAAAGATTTACTTTACCACCTCATAAAAAAATTAAACATCAGTTTTACCACCAATCACCTCCAACTAATGGATTCTGTCCATAAATCCGTTAGTGGGGCCTACCTTGCACACGTGTCGCCATATTATTGGGTAAGCTTTAGAAAAAAAATTAAAAAAAACAAAAAAAAAAATTAAAAAACCCCATCCATCAACCGGTGGTTGCTGCCACCGTCGAGACCCCACCACCGGACCGACTACGACCAGCCCCACCACCTGACCGCTACGACCAGCCCCCCCACCTAACCGCTACCAGCCCCCACCACCTAACCTAACCGTTACGACCAACGACCCCACCACCTAATAACTACCACCGCAACGCACAACCACAACCACCGCACCGCACCGCACAACCACCACACCGATTTCGACCCCCTTTCCACCAATTTCCGACCTCAAAACCCTAGCCACCACCTAATCACTACGACCAACGACCCCACCACCTAACCGCTAACACCGCATCGCACCGTACCCAGCCACAACCCCCACACCGGATTTCGACCCCCTTTCACCAATTTCCGACCTCAAAACCCTAGCCACCAAATTCCGACCACCCATATAGCCCCCCTAATTCCGACAACTCTTAAAACCCTAGCCACCACCAAATTCCGCACTCCTAAAACCCTAACCACCACCTAATTCCGATCACCTCCCTAGGTTACACCAAATTCCGACCCCTCCCTTGCCCCCACACGAAATTCCGACCAACCATGGTGTGTTAATTTCGTTGCTGGCTGGGTTGATATGGAAATCGGGGAAGATGAAGAAGAACCGTCAAAAAGGTGGGCCCTACTAACGGATTCATGGACGGAATCCGTTAGTTGGTGGTAAAATCGAATTTTTGGAAATTTTGGTGGTGGTAAAGTAAATATTTTTTTTGGAGGTGGTAAATTCAATTAAGTGGTTATTTGAAGGTGGTAAAAGTCAAAATTCCCTAACAATTATGATTGTAGACCTGACATCGAAACCATTCCCTCTTGCAGGAATAAATTCTTTATGGATGTAATCTACTTCATTAGACACCTTAAGGGACAGATAATAGCCGGCATCCCCTACACCAGGATGTCGAAGACTGCCTATATTGCCAAACATGAAGCAACTTCTAGTAGCATTCTGATAAAACATTGTAACACAGGAACAGTTCTGAAGGCAAGCAGATTTGCATTCACTAATGCTAGATTTCATCTGTGGTTTTGTAAACTCAAGTGCAACATAATCAAACCGTGTTCCTACATCCAACAGCCGAACTGATAAACTATCTGTAGCATTATCACAAAGGGCAGGAATTCGAGGTTTGCAATCGTTAAAAGATGAGAGCATTACAGAACACTGACATAAATTCTCCATGAAACATGACTTAAAAGGCGAACAAGAAGATGGTGTAGTACATGAACCTGAAGGAATCTTAAATGACTCTGCTATTTCTGATTTTGCCTTCAGAAGATTGAAAAACTCTATTGTACCAGTTGAGCCTAACACCGCGGCCCATAATGCATTCGGATCAGACTGCTCTGAAATGTTGAACTGCCAGACTAAACCACCCCTCTGATCATAAAAATTCCAAGAGTTGCCCATCAGTGTTGCAGAAGAGACCTTCCCACCGGGTTTTATAACAGCTTTTCGTGTATCATTTGACATCATCCAGTAAACTTGCGGGGTTCTATAACCCGCAAACAGAATCAAATCACCAGACTTAAACATAAGATGATAATGCAGGTTTAGTTCATAAGGAAAACTTTTAAGTCTCATATTTTCGGAAAAAGATTGGCCTAATACAAGTGTATCAGTAGGGTAATCGAAACTTTGCCAAAGGATAGTTTGATTTTCGCTAAGCAAGACTAAATTTCCATTATCCATCAACTCCATTACTTTGACTCCTCGGCCAGTTGTATTAGAAGACCAAACAATAGAAGTTGTGTTATGTAAATAAGCATTTCCATTTTTGTCAAGTACAAATTTAGCTGTATTATCAACTAAAACACCTCTATTCGCGGTCCATATATTTGTGGAGCTAAATATATGCATTACTACTAGGATAAAAAATGGTGCATCTACACTAGTATAAAATCCAAAGGAAAATGTGGAGTTTTTTGAGACTAAGAACATTCCATTGTAATTATCCCACTCTTTTTGAGTTGCTTGGAAACCTGGCTTAATCTGATTTACTTGTTGATTGCTTGCACTAATTGTACAGTTACATGTATGACTATAATATAAGGTAAAAATCAAAGAGAACAAAACATGGAATTTCATAATTTTCACCTTTATTTCATAAACTTCATACTTCAAAAAACAGAAGTTAGTTGAATTTGTATATTTTATTTTTTTTTTAAGAAAATCAACTAGCTAGTTCAAAGATCACTTAATTGTAAAACACAACCTCGTTTAGAGTATTAAGTTAATTATTTGATATGCTGATTTTTAAAAAGTAAGAAAAGTAGGAGAAGAAAACACCTGAAAAATAAACTCTGGAAAATATTGAGGATTTTCTTATGTAATGTTACACCCCTTTTCTATGGGAAGTAGAATAGAGCCAAAAAGTGATAGTTTTGATTTTGTATCAACAAATAAAGGGTTAATTTCCTCAAAGTAGTAAGGAGTATTACTTATTATAGGAAATTAGAATAGTTAAGAAGCACTTGTAAAATGATGATGTTATGGAGTGTGGGTGTTTAGCTAGCATGTAGTAACACAAGAAGTAAGTTAGCTGATCGGAGCAACTTGTCCTAGGGATGAGTAATTATGAAAGCTTATCAGCTCTCTATTTTCGATAAAATTTGGAAAATGTTAAACGTACTCCTGATTATCATAAAGAATAATATAGAAGTATCTATAATTTGAAATACTTTCTCCTTATCACTTTTTATAATTGGAAGTTTTAATTTAGCTGTATCACTTTCCTTTTTAGTTAATAAATCCTTTCTATTTAATTTCTCTAATATCACGCTTGCCCTCTTTATTTTTTCTCTCTATTTCTCTCAACTACAAAAATTATATATCTTAGATTCCGTAATTTCAAAAGTGATGTATCTAAAAAATCGGAGGAAGATAATAAAACATATAATTTCAAATAAAACATCACAACACATTATTTTCATACCTTAACTTATAGCATCTGATCCAATTGAAAGAACATGTGAATTTATCTACATGTTTGCTAAAAATGACATTGAATTACAAGTATGATATAATAATGAAGATGTAGGTGTAATAAAAAAGATCAGATGAAACTAAAAACTTATTCAAATCATGCTCTCGAGTGTATAAGATCTAATACTTTAACGAAGAATTGTTATCGAGAAAGCTAAGAGCATCCACAATGGTTGTACATGAGGACCTGCTAGCTACATGCTAGCCATTGTGGAGCTATAATCTCTTGTAGCTAAGCCAAACTACATAGCTCTATAGAGCTATATAGTTTCACTCCACCCAATGCTATTATATTAATTTGTTTAATATATTTTAAGTGTTTGTAAATATATTTATTTATTTTATGTCATCATGTGGTACATAATAAAATTACAAAAAAAGTAGCTTGCCATTGTAGAGGTTGTAGATCATGTAGTTTGAGAAATAATGATGTGACAACCCTTAGCTACATGTACATGTAACTAGTCATTGTGGATACTCTAAGGCTACATTCCAGAATGTTACAATACACATTTATATTAATATTACTTACCATCAAAATAGTGAATGATAATGAAACCACATGGTTGAAATGAGTATCAATATATAATTTCTATCAATAGTAAGGCATGGCATATTATTATGGATTTTGCATCAAAAACGTACAATCAAAATTCGTGTAATTTCCTCGAAATACATGTATAAAATATGATTCATGATGATCTATCTTCCTAATTAGGAGATCATGTCTCTAAATTTAACCATAGATTTAATTTGTTCAATAATGTGCTTCGATTCACTCACTGCTCCAGGAGGTACTAGAACACAATATTAGCCATATGTAAAATTAGATAAATATTATGGAGTAAATTGTACTCCTTATAATTTCCATCTCATCATATTTATCTCCCTATGAAAAGTTGCCAAACATGCTATTAATTAAGTGAACTGCTAAACATCACCGCAAATCTCTACATAAAGCCCATAAATTTGAAGTGAATTGACACTTTTGCCCACAAATTAAAAAACACACTTTCATCTTCTCTCTAATCTCATTTTCTCTCTCTAAAAAAAATTAAAATGTCGAGGCGGCAAGGCAAGGAAGCGGCGGCACCGGAGGCGGAGGGAAGGCGGTCACGCGGTGGAAAGGTATTTTTAAATTTTTTTTTTAAAAAAACCTTGAGATGGCGGCGGAGCCACGGTGGCGCCGCCTTACCCAGACGCCAGGCCCACGGTGGCGGCGCCTAGGCAGGATGCCTAAACCACGGCGGTGGCGTCTTACGTGCACACCACCACTGTGGCCTAGGCGTCCTGCCTAGGCGTCGCCACCGTAGGCCTGGTGTCTGGGTAAGGTGCCGCCACTTTGTTTTATTTTTTTTTTAATTGTTAATTTAGTTTTTTTTTTATTTTTTTATAGTTTTTTTCAGTTTTTTTTTATTTTCAGTTTTTATTTTTTTTGGATTTATTTTTCGGTTTTTTTTATTTTTATTTTTTAGGTTATTATTTTTTTTTGTTTTTTGTTTTTTTGGTTATTATTTTTTTGTTTTTTTTTTTGTTTTTTCTTTGATTTTTGATTTTTTTGTTTTTGTTTATCTTTTTGATTTTTTTGTTTGTTGTCTATATTTTTTTGTTTATGTTTATATTTTTTTGTTTTTGGTTTATGTTTATATTGTTTTGTTTATGTTTTTTTTTTCAAATTTGTTTTTTTTTATGTTTATATTTATTTTTCAATTATTTGTATATTGTTTTGTTTATTTTATTTATTTTTTTTTATTCACTTTTTTAATGTTCATATTTATTTTGTATGTTTTGGTATTTTTTTTGTTATGTGTGTATTTTCTAATTTGTCTAAATTATTTTTTTCGGTGTTGTGTACTTTTCTTTTTAATGCAATTTGTTAGTATTTTTTTTGTTTATTTGATATTTTTTTTTGGTTAGGTATTTCTATTTTTTGTTGTTGATACTTTTTAAAATAGATTATTAATATAAATAATAATAACAATTGCTATTATTTTTCGTTATTTAAATGGAGTTTGGCATCTCATTTTCGACCTGGTGCGGGGAAGAGTATGTATGGACGTTATTAGAAGTACAATCTACTCAATGGAGAGCTCGGGGCCCAGTGACGTTAGATACCGTGGTATTTCGGCCTCAGCTCGCAGAGAACGGGTGCACTATTCTGAGGATGATAAGATGATGATGGTGATGATGATGATGATGATGAGGAGGAGGAGGAGGAGGAGGAGGAGGCTTGATGATATATATGAGACGCATAGGGTAGATATGCGTAAGGGTAGAGATGGTAGATTTGTTAGTAGATCTGGCACATCATCTGCGTCCACTATGTCTGCGGTTAGCAGAAAACGGTCGAGGGCCGTTAATGATTCTTGGGTGGTGAGGGGTAAGGTGGCTGGGGACCTGTAGACGGGAGTGTAATTCCTAGCTTTCTAGGACACATCGCTACTCGTATCTGAGAGGACTAGGGCTTTGGATACGGGCATTTTGAAATGCCAAACCCGGTAAAAGACTTGTAACTTTTTGCGTAGTTGGGCTGATGCTTGGCCGGAGGAGAGTGAGATGCTCGGCCGATTGAGGGGCACTAGAGTGAGTCACCTTCTTGCCACCATGCATGAAAGGATTGACTCAACGCTAATCACGGCTTTCGTTGAGCGATGGCAGCCAGATACGAACTCTTTCCACCTTCCGTTCGGTGAGATGAAGATCATGTTGCATGACATCGAAGCCATCTTTGGGATTCCCGTAGAGGGAAACCGACCCTCTGTTGTCACTGATGCGGATCAGACAAGTGGAGCTGTTGCCGGTGGATAGGGTTGTGCTGTACACAACAGCACTTGGTGTTTGGGATCACGACGGTGTTAAGATTGCAGCCGTTTTGCAGCGATGTTTACACCCCACTGCACGTAGGACGCATGACACACAACTGGCTGCATATGTTTTTCTTCTCCTCGGGTGTACCTTGTTTCCGGATAAGAGCGAAAACAAGCTCAGGCCGCGCGACATAGTTGACGTGTGTGAGCCCGCCAAAGTAGGCCAGTTTTCTTGGGGGTCGCCTACGTTGGCATATCTGTATCGCCAGTTAAGATTCTCGAGTCGGGCTGATGCGGTAAGTATCACTGGATGTCTGACATTGTTACAGACCTGGATATACGAGTATTTTCTTGCGTTTCGACCACACCGCGACTCGGTTCCTATTGGGGATGGGTAGCCACGTGTCTATGCGTGGAGCCCGCGGTTCGAGAAGAAGTCCATTGACCGCCTGCGATCGATACGGTTATTGCTTGACAGGATGTCCCCATTAGAGGTAAAGTGTTTAAATTATTTCTACTTTTATAGTTTGATGCGTTTATTATATGAATTTTACTAATTTGAAAAAATGTGCAGGTGAACTGGATGCCTTTCGGCCAGAACCCTAGTAATAGGGTACCCAGGACCCTCTACACGGGACTAATTCAGTATCGTGAGATCGTACATGCCGCAGCGCTATCTTCGCCGGCTTGGATTTGTCCAAGTTGTTCCTCCTCCACTAGCATGGCCTAGTAAGGCGGTCCGATCTGCGTCGTCGAAGGAGTACGTCGTCCAATCGCCAGCAAGCATGATTGCCACGTGGGAGCAGTTTCCGATGGTTGCTCGCCTATAGACGACGGAGCTGCAGCGGCCGCCAACTGGGGTGATTGCCATGTGTGACCAGCACTACATGGAATGGTACAACCGGTATTCGCACCCAAGGTTGATCAGAGACCTCCACCACGGCGACCACGCCAATGATGATGATGTGCCACCGCCCAATGTCGTGGATGCGTTATGTCTCATAAAACATTTGTTGTTGTGTTTTTTTTTTATATAATACGTCGTTATTGAATTTCATGCTTTTTTGTTGTGTGTAGTGGATGGGAAAGATGATGCAGCTGGGACACAGAATTTTTGAGGAGAGGGACAACATGATAACTGCATCAGGCAGAGCTATTATTGATGATCTGGAACAGGCTCTTGAGCAGTGGCAGTGGGCGTCACAGAGGGATTACTGATATGTGGCCAGTTTATTTATAGAACATTTTGTACATTATCATAGTAGTTTGTAAAATTTGACATTATCTTTTTAGTTTGTAACATTTGAAATTATTATTTTAAGTTCTTAAAATTTGACATTATCTTTTTGGTTTGTAACGCGCAAGATCTAATTAGTGTGCATGCAAGATATAAATTTAGTCAAAATTAGAATACGAAAAATGAATGGAATAAAAATAGCAATAAAAATACAAGGTTACATAGAAAATGTAGGTATACGCGTGAAAAACAAAAAGGCCGCTAGGTTGTTCCACTGCTGCATCCGGTCATGATACAGCGCATCCTAACCCTCTACGCTTGTTCTACAAATGGTGTACCACCGAGGTATGATCGGTGGGACCAGAAAATCGGATGACAGGTCCAATCGGATGAAATGTCTGTATGACGGCCCCAGAAATACAATAGCAAACTCTCTCACCAGTCTGGTGACGGTCTCACGCGAATACCAAGGGAGAACCGTGGTACATGGATAATAAGCTCGACTACGCAAACCAAGCCCAAAATGCATGACTGCAAACTTGTAGATGTTTGCAATGGCAAAGAGATCAAGTGGCGCGTCGAACCAATGATTTTGATCACAAGGTCCTCCTCCCCACCGGATACGCTGTAGAGACCTATCCAAGCCTTGGCCGTACACATGGCGATAAATATCTCGGTTTGAGGCAATTTCACTGTACATCAACTGACGCACTAAACCGTAGTTGTCTTCACCCATCTGAAACGCATTAGCCACGACCTGGAATCCGCAGTTACCATCTGCAACACCATCATTCCACCCGTCCAAAGTATGTCATGATGATGTTAGGGATCCTGTCCTTATATGGAAACTGTTCAATGTCCATTCTTCCTGTTACACATATCAATAAACACAATTAACAAGTCAGCGTTAAACTAAACAAACATTCTAAAAAGTAAATTAAAGTAAAGTATTGTACCGGTGCTGGGCATATTCACCGACGAAGAAGATTGTTTACGACTTGATGACGATGTACGACCACGGCCACGACCACGATCATGAATGTACTCAAACGCACTCCTGTTCCGCCGTGCTTGTCGACCTCTATGTCGCTCGACCACTACAGGTTCCTCGTGATCCAAGCATGATGTGTTGAACATGTCATGAAGTACGTGGGTAGCATCACGAATGATTGAAGGGTGACTGGAGGACACTTGGTCAAACATCGAACGAAACTGCTCCAACTCCTCCTATGCACGGTGGACCCTCTGTGGAACAACATGCTCTCCAATAACGAGCGTCTGCCAGAATGGATGAACCTGATAAACATGTAACAACGCCCTATCTTGCATAATTACGCGGTGAATGGTGCATGCACAACGTAGTCCATAAGTCACTGATATAGCACATCCGCACCGAATAGCCACTTCATCACCCAACTCCCTCATCTTGTTGTGCTCGCTCAGAATCAACCCCAAGCAGTAGTATGACACACTGCACGACCATGGAGAATCTTAAATATGAAATGGCAATACATCATGCCATGTCGCCGTCTAGTGTCCTCGAGAGAGTTCTTGATGCCGTTCTTTTGAGTGTCAATTTCCTTGTTTATTCTCTCGAAAAGTGTATCTAGAGCAAAGGTGGAAGAATCAATCCAGTCCTTCAAAGCTCTATGAGCGCTCTCAACTCTACATGTTGTAATGTTTCCAAAATGAAGAACTTGGTTTGTCCAATATTTTACAAACTTTTTCCTATGAGGTATCCACTGCTGCATCACATAGTTTACCATTGTCGGGCACCATTGGTACGCATCTTTGAACTCTTCAAGGCTCGATCGTACTCTGCCTCTGTGGTAGCTTGCAGGATCTTCCGCCACTTACCATTTACCAATCTCTCTGCTGAATCTAAATTCTTGTTGAAAAGGTTGTAGGTTTTGACTTTCACACAGTTGTTGATGTGCCATGTGCATAGTAAAGGGCTCAACTCCGGAAACAGCTCCGCTATAGGGGCAAAGAGACCTCCCTCACAATCACTGATGATGGCTGAACATTTAGGCCGATGTAATTTCTCAACTTCTCCAACACCCAATAGTAACTCGCAGCCGTCTCATCCTTGATGACTGCATAACCAATCAGAAAATTTTGGTTTGTTGGAGCCATCCCAACCATCTCAACCAGTGGGAACTTGTACTTGTTTGTCTTATATGTTGAATCGATCAAAATCACAGATGGCCAAGACGTGATCATATCAGCACAATCAGGATGCACAAGGAATAAATGAGTCACCTCCGATGTGTCTTCATCAGAATTAAACCAGAACAGGTAACAGGTGCTTGTGCCTGGTGTAGAAGCTGTTGTATAGGGTTCCTTCCCTCTGACCGTTCAAACCTCAATTTCTGTCTGACGTTGTAGATGTGTCTTCGGTTTGGCTGGTATTCAGGAAATTTCTCTAACACAGATGTTAATATTTTAGCAGGCTTCACCTGAGCATCACTCATTTCTTTTACAACTAGTTTCGCAGCAGGACTTAGGCCGCTTAACTGTCGATGACCCACTTCATATACTATCATCTCATGGTTGTGATACCCCCATTTACCGTAACCCTTCACTTCCTAATCGTCACAACTTTGCTGTTGTCGAACCTTTACTCTAAACTGACACCCACAATCTTTCCGCTTTGTATCACACCGAATCGCTTTACTGAAATCTCATTCCTCCCTTTTGCGATAATGGTCGCATCTCAAAATGCGATCCATTCTACCATCTCGTTGTGATTTATGACTTGCTACTACTAAAAAAAAAACCTGATCTAATTGCAACCTGTTTTGCCCAATCAATCACTTGTTGAGCATCTTCGAACGGACCATCATTTACAAAAATCCCACTATAATCATTTAATTTCCGTCTCCACCATAATCCTGCAACAATGACATATAAATATAATTACATAAGGATTAAATTAATACATTTGACACAAAATTAACACAGAAGTAATTTCTAAATTTTAAATTTCTATATTTAATGCATAATACATTTAATTTCTAAATTTACTCATAATTAACACAAAATTAACACGTAATTATATATAATAGTATTCACACACATACAAAATTAAAACATAAATTTGTTTATTTTTTGAAATTATTAACATATATTAAAACATAATTTCAAATTAAACCATAATTTGTTTTTTTTTATAAATTATTCACACATATTTAAAACATAATTTCAAATTAAATTTTCTTTTTTCTTAGAAAAAAAATTGTTAACACATATTTAATTTCAAATTTATCAAAATTAAAAAACCAAACAAAAAAAACAAAAGACAAAAACAAAAACAAAACTTTAAATAAAATTATAAAAACAAAAAAAAAAATAACTGCGGCGGTGGCGCCTGGCTGGGACGCCGCCACAGTGGCTGGGGCGCCTGGCCAGGACGCCCCCACCATGGTTAGGGCGTTCCAGCCAAACGCCACTACCATTGTGGCGGCGTCCTGGCAAGGCGCCTTAGCCACGGTGGCGGCGTCCCGCCTAGGCGCCACAACCACGGTGGTGGAGTCCTGGCCAGACGTCGGCCACCAATTCGTAATTTGTAAACGTAAAGTACCTCGTTTTCCGGCGACGATGACGGCTCTCCGGTGTATCTCGCCGACGATGATGGCTCTCTGGTGTCCCTCGGCGATCCAGTGCTGCTCCACATTTTTGGTGAGAGAAAATTTCGTTTTGGGTAAAAATTAAAAAAAGGGCAAAAGTGTCAAAGTTTAAAAAATTGTGGGCTTTATGTAGAGAATTGTGGGCGATTTTTAACAACTTCCTTAATTAAATAGTTAATTATTAGAAGGTGAGCCAAAGGAGCTAGCTACAAGTATTAAAAATACAAAAAAAAAAAATTCAAATAATGATTATTGATTAAAAGAGATTATATATTGATACTATGTATACTTTATTTCTAGAAATTAAATTTTTTGAAATATGTGACT